CTTATCTCCGTTTGTAATGGATTTGTACAAGAGTATTCCTAATATTTTTCAAGCATAGGATCATAGCCCGACTGCCTTCTTGCTCGGTCGACTCAAATTGACTGAGCTTGGTCGGTAGAGTTCAATCAGCTGCTCCAACCTGGTTGATCATATCCGATCCTTAGTGAGGAGTCTTCGGGTTTTCGCTGGATGGTCAAAGATATTTCGTAGAACCGATTCTTCTATCGAGTTAGCTCCACAGCGAGATAGACTATTATGTTGAGTGGTTTTTTTGCAATAGATGACTTTGATGTTCTTTTGTTTTGCTTGTTGACGGATTGTTTACACTTGGATCACCCGGTTGTCTTCTTGTCCATCTTGTGACTCAAACGGTTTTCGCTTAGTTGGTTTGCTCATTCGTTTGGGTGTGCCTCACAATGTCCTGGCAGTAGACCTGCCTCAATCGTACTCTTCTCTTATTGACCATTAAATTTCTTTAAGATTTCTTTAAGATCAGCTTAAAAACTTTTTTGATGTACAAATATAATCAAATATCTACAATTTTGACTCAACGTTCTTTTAGCAATTAAAACTGCACAGAAGAAAGCCAATTTGCACTGTATAAATGTAGATTCTTTTGTGTTGACCAATTTACATGCAGTCATATGTGGATTGCAGTATGTTTATGGGTATCATTTTTCATAAAACTTCAAGTTTTTTCAGGCGGTTACTCGTCACTTGAGTATAGGAGCCCAGAATTTACCCATTTGATTAATTTTGCATTCTAACCAGAGTTAACCAACCAAATTTATTTGCTTGGTTGTGTTTAGATCAATTTCATGTTTCTTTTAATATTTTATACCTCCGATTATAATTACATCAAAAATTTTTTATGTAACTAGTGAATGAAGCATCATACAAGAACTTTAAAATGTGTGCTGTTTAATTTCACAAGAAAATTCCTTACCAAAGTAATAACGCCCGCTAACTTCTGTAAATATTAGTTCTTAACCACCCTTTTAACTTTATTCTTTTGTGATTATCAACGTTTGATCATTTCTTACAATAAATTTTTATTTTATTATACGAGTTTTGGGAAGTGCTTTAAGTTGAATGGACCTGGCCATTGTTCGGTGTAGTTTGACATGTATGCTTCTGTCTGGTGTCAAGCCCTAAGAGAAGGTCTAGAGTTGCTTTCTTAAAAAAGTCATATTTTACTAGATGTCTGTTTCCCATAAATACATATTGATTTTAAATTTTCTATCATATCAATTGATTGATTTGATTGTACATTATAACTATTTGAAATCTATAATTTATCCATTTTGGTCGCTCTATAAACTCATACCAGTATCGTAATAGCCATTCACCGAACCACAACTTCTACAGCATTTTAAACAGCAGTTTTAATATGATTTTTACCAAAATCCATTTGCTTTTCTTGTTTAATACACGAATCCCCAAAATATTTTTGTTGTACTAGGCAATATCTTTATCTTAAGTGAGTTTCACTATAAGTTTATTTTCTGTTTTTACACCATATAAAGTGTATTCTTATGCCTTGACATGAAGACTACTACTATCGGTTAGTTTCTTGAAGATATATTACTAGCTAAGCAATTTTTTTTTTTTAATCATAGCCTTGAGTTGCTTTTCTGCTTCATCAGTCTAAGAGCATTTTATTTTTCGTGATTCCTTTGAATTGGCTTTCTATGCTTTATTAGAATATGTGGTGTGGCCTGGGGTTGACTCACTAGAAGGGGGCTAATTATAATTTGATATTCTTCCCAAGTGGGCAAGGGAGACTGCCTGAGTGTTGGTGGAGTTGGTGGGCAAGTGTATGTAAAGATTATGAGCACAATTAAGGTTGGCCAACACTAGATATGATCTACAATGTAGAAAATCCTAATTCTGAGTTTATTAGTTTTTTTGCTTTAAGCTCTAATAATTGCTCTCATTATTTCTCCGTTGGATTCATGTGCTACATCTATAAATGTTATTTCTTAGCTTAAATTGGGTGGTTAGTTTATTAAAAATTGATTTAGAAAAACAGGGCTGGCCTTTAAAAAGACGCAAAAAGGTTGGGCTTTAGTTCTAGGGTAAGAAACATCTTTTTAATTGAATTTTGAAGATTAATAGGGTGCCAAATGATTGGAGAAGTAGTGTTTTGGTTCCACTGTTTCAAAAGAAGTTCAAAATTAGTCTAAGTGCTAAAGAAATTAAATTCATGAGTTATATAATGAAGCTATGAAAGCAAGAAATGTAACATATTCTAAAAAAAATTACATTAATTTAGGAGTACCAAATTGGGCTCAGGCTAGGACTATTTATTGTGAAAGTGCTTTTTATGACAAGACAATTAATAGGAAGTATTGAGAAAATAAATTGTCTTCATGTGATTTTTATTAATCTTGAGAAGGTGTGTGACCAAGTACCATGAGAAATGATTAATGATTTGTAAGGTAAAAATGTGTGTTTCATAGACTTATTGATGTTGCTAAAGATATATATTATGTAGCATTGTTTAGTATTTGAACTTGTTGTGCAGTGCTCATAGGTTTCTGGTAATTTTTTTAGCAAGGATCAAATTTAAGTTCATATCTTATAATATTGGTTTTAAAGTGCTATAGAAGATATTCAATGTTAGGTGACTTGGTGAATAATTTTTTGCAATTAATATTGTTATAATTGGTGAGAAACTACTGGAATATGAATGAATATAGTGGAGAGATTATTTAGAAAATAGAGACTCTATAATTAATAGAATAAAATCTAAAGTATATATGCATATAATTTTTGTGGGTATGATCTTAACAATATCATTTGATATTTTTAGAAGATAAAGTTATGCATATGTATGATATATTTAAGTAAATTGGATCTATTGTATTGAAAAATGAAGATATATTTAAGTATCTAGAGTGACTATATGTTAAATATCTTGGATCTATTGTATTGTAAAATGAAGATATAGCTTATGGATTTAAGATTTAATGATTAAGACGAAGAAGTGCCTTTTTAGGTGTGTGATTAGAGATATTATGGAGGCTTCAAGGTAAATTTAATAAGATTGCAAGGAGGCTAGTGATATTATATAAATCCGAATATTGGGTCGTAAAAGATTCATTAATAGTTAATTTGAGCTTGATAGAAATGAGATTGTTAAGATGGATGCATGATAAAATCAAGAAGGATAAATTGAGAAAGGATAAATTAAGGAATGACTATAGGGAGAAAATGTTGGATTGACATCTATTAAGGATGGGGTGGTTGAAAATAAATTTTTTGCTGATTTGGACTTATACAATAATGGGTAATTAATGTACCTGTCACAAGTGTTGATGAGTGTCATAGCATAGTAAGAAACATGGGTAGATGTAATATTACAATGATAAAAGTTGCCAAAAATGGTTTGCGAATATTAGTTTTGACAACTTAGAAAATACTCTTCAAAAATGTAAGAAAAATGAAGGTTCATAATGCCAAACCCAAATAGTTGGGATAATGCCAATGATGGTGATAAAAGGAAAATATAAACTGAACTTTTTAGATGAGAAAGTAAGGTAGAATTGTTTAAATTTCTTGGTCATTGTAATTGCTGCAGAAGAAGGTGGATAAACATCTTTTATGTGGGCTGTTATTGTCGCAAAATTATGGGCGTGTCAAAGGGCTTCCTCCCAGTCTTTATATGCTGTGTTTCATGGTTAATCACTTTTCTATTCTTATGTATATTTAGAAGTTCTATATTTTTCACTCTATTTTTTATGTTTATTAAGAGCACTTTATATAGTGAAATTTATATTATTTATTTTCCAGTTAATATGTAAGTTGATTGAAACACGACAAGCATTATAAGAGAGGAACTGAATTTAATCACCTAAACAGTGCCTTGAACAAGTGAAGTAGAAGACTAGAAAAAAGTTCCAAACTATTGTGACACATTTTAAATTTTTTGAGACAAGACAACCTTCTATTATGAAAAATGACAGAACTTTGCAAGCCAACAACATAAGCACGTAGCCACTTTAGTTCTGTTAAAAATAGTTTATATAAATTTTGCGCTCTAAGCATACTAGTAGTTCATACTTGAGAAAAGTAACATGAAGCATTGTGTTACATCATCTTTTCTTTGTGATATTAACATTATAAATGTTGCAATCTTATAAACATGAAATAAATATAATGTTCACCTTCATAATGTCATGCACATACAGACTTTTATTACAGTGATTTTGGAGGACTTTTATCAACATCATTAGTCTCAGGTTGAATTCATGAATACTTTCGCACTTAACTTTGATCCTCCTCTTTCTTCCCTTTTTCTTCCTATTTCTTTCGCATTCTATCAACTTATTTTCTTGGTGTTTGTCCTTCTTCAATTGTTTATGCACAAGTCACCTAACTCTATTTTTTCACCGGCTTATCTTATATTGAAGTTATTTATGATAACTTTCTAATTTATTTTCCTCATTGACCTTTCGAAATTTGATTACATTATGCTCCTCCCAACTAGATGCATTCATGATCTATTTGTTTTCCAAAGCTCGAATTCAACTAGAATAATTGGTCTAATAGCATAGCTATAAAATTTGTGGATCTTTATGTTATTATGTTTTGCTTTTTATTCCTATTGACCAAACTTACTTTGAAGTTTTGACCTCATTTGTAGCCTCATTTTTCATTTGGTACAATCAAGATGTTTGAACTTATTACACTTCTGTGTCATTTGATCTTAAAGAGCTAGTGAATAGCATCATTAACTTCACCTCAACTAATCATTTGATATTCTCAAATATCTATTATGCTAATTAAAGCCCGTTATCATTCAAAAATTTCTTTATTATCCAAACGCTTCAATTTTTCCCCAACTGTTTTCACACATTAGAAGTATCAGATAATCTTACATTCCTATGAGAATTGTAACGTTTGAAATAATGATGAAATTTTTATCTTACTGACTAATTTACTGGAAAATCTTTCCATTCATGAGAGTTTAACAGGTTTCATTTTTTTTAATCTAGCTTATCACATGAGTGGTTCATGGGCAACAACCACAACTACTGGCATCTTTCTTGTAGCGGCATTCACAGACTGGCTAGATGGTTATCTTGCTCGTAAGGTGTATAATTTATGTTTCATTTGCTCAGCATCTATATCAACCATCTGCTTCTCTAGCTGCAAATATGAATTTTTTTTTTTTTTCTTGGTGTTTTCTGCATGATAGATGCAACTAGGAACAACATTTGGTGCCTTTTTGGACCCGGTAGCCGATAAGGTTTCTTTTCACTTTCCACCAGTACTTTATAATTTTGCGACGATTTGTCTTCATCATAAATTTATACCGGATATACTATTCAGTGTATCCTATAATATGCAGTTATTTTGATTTGATATTTTACTTGACCAAAATACAGCTCATGGTAGCTGCAACATTGGTATTATTATGCTCGAAACCTTTGGAAGTGGCTTTCTTTGGAGTGGTTCCATGGATTTTGACTGTTCCTGCAATTGCCATTATTGGTAGAGAGGTAATTGCCGAGTAAACAGGTCCTCACCATAAGTCTTATCCTGTAGCCTCCATTTTTCTTTTTTATTTTTTTGCACGAATTCTATGTCTTATTAGTACATCTTTTATTTGCAAATTTATATAAAACCTAAATCACCTATTTATTTTACACTGCCTTGCTTTCATTACATGTTACTCCTGCCATCTTTCCTAGTTGGAACACTTTCACCTCAACATTTTAAATCTCACTTGAATCGATTATCAATGGCTTATTTGTTTCTCAACTTTAAATTATTATAGCATATTCAGTCTTCTAATCACAACTAGTTCTTTATGTACACATCTTTAAATAATTTCCACCTCTCTTGTTGCAGATAACAATGTCAGCAGTCAGAGAGTGGGCTGCTGCTCAGAACAACGGGGTTCTTGAGGTTAATTTTCTTAGTCTCTAGCTGCTTTCCGTTCTTATGATATATAAGCCCCACAATTCTCAAGTTTCATGAGAGCAGTCATGGGGTGTGAAATCTCTACAGTAACTAGAGGTGTAAACGAGCTGAGCTTGAGCTAGTTTAGTGTTTGTTCGTGTTTGGCTCTTTCGATTTTTTTTGTTCAAAATCAGTCCATGCTCGAGATGGCTCTTGAATAGCGTGTTCTTGTTTAGGTCGATTCAAATTTGTTTGTTTGTTTCAGCTCATGTTCGACTAAAATTTAGCTAAGATAATTTTAAAAATAATGAATATATATATATATATATTAAAACTGCATAAAAAATTAATATAAAAAGGTTATAATAAGTATTGTTTGTTAATTATTTAATTAATTCGAGCTACAACGTGCCGAATACGATCAAATAAAGGTTTGTTTGTGGTCGGCTCGTTTATAAAACGAGCTAAACGAGCTCAAAAAACTGTGTTCAGCTCGTTTGTTTCACGAATGAATCAAATACAGCCACTTAATGAGCTGAACATGAGTTTCTCCAATTACCAGCATGACTGTCAAAGTATTCATGCTCGAGTGTTTGATGAAATCCATTCCTGATGCCAGGCAGTGGCAGTCAATAACCTGGGGAAGTGGAAGACAGCGACTCAAATGACTGCACTAACAATCCTCCTCCTCTCCAGAGACCCCAGGTTTACAGATCATCCTCTCATTCCAATGTTTCTTCAGACCTAATTCTTAATTGGGAAATTTACATACCTAGCACACAATTATTATGGATTTACATATCGTACAACTAAATTTTTGATATTTACATACGCAACACTCTGGTGCTTTAAACATGCATGAAAATGTGTATTTGACTTCTAAAAAGTGGTAACAGTACCATTGAAGATTTGAGTGTTGTGTGTAAATACGAAAGTTTAGATGTGAGATATCTAATTAAATAAGAATTGTGCGCTATATATGTAAATCCCCCTTCTTAATTTTGGGCACAGAATCCTTAAATTCCTCAAGTTCTTATTCTGTTTTGCTGATTTATTATGTTGTGCAGTTTAACAGGACCAGGCATTCTGGTATCAACTGGAGTGTTTCTGCTTTATGTTTCAGCTGGTCTTGCTTTATGGTCATTAGCAGTCTACATGAGGAAGATTTGGAGATTTCTGATCAAGTAGATTCTATTCATTCAAATATATTAAATTTATATGTTGCAGAAAATTGTATGGTCAGAGAACATTTTATTTATTTTTTAAGGAAATAGTTTATAGAATGATTACCTGTTTTTTAAACTGTTTTATGTTACTGGAAGCTTGTTCTGGGCCTGTTCTGGTTTATTCAGCCAAGCAGTGGGTGGATGAAGGGCCTGATTTTGTTCACTTCAGCTTCCTTTTGATGAAATTTTATTTTATTTATCTGATGTACAGTCAATCTCACTGCTGCATAAACTTTGTATGAATTATATTGATGGAATCTAGAAATTTGAGAAATCTTGCAATGTTATCTTCTACTGGCAAGTATGGCTGGCTTTTAGAGAAGGTATTCGTTGTTATATAAAGTCTATTCCACATTGCAATTTTTACTTTGTTTTTTGGAAGTCTTTTCATATTCCTTTGCATTGGTGTGATACAATTCTTAAAATGCAGTCTCCATTAGTGATTTTGATTGTAATATTTTTTTTTTCTTTTGAAAGGTTTCTATTCCTAGAGCTGATTTACATGTTGACATATTAATAATTGAAAATGATGGAGGATTTTGCTTGCAGTACAATCACCCCAATATATTGAATTGAGTTGTATATGTAAATATGCAAATACTTAATGATTCATTTTAACAGCCCTAATTTTTACCTCTGCAGCTGATTACATTCACATACATCATAAAAGTTATATCTATAAACTTCGTGGTTGCGATACTCATTCGGGCAATTCAATCACCAATCTTAAAGAAAATCAGTTGATAGTAGACTAAAGGACCTAATATAATAGAAAAAAATAAATATTATGGGCATAACAGCTTTTGTTAAATATATAAATTATACGTAATGCTCATTGTTAAACCAGGCTTCATGCAGCATATCAGAATAAAAAGGTGCATTGAACTCGTGTGTTGGAGAAGTTGCGCTATTGCTTGATAAAACCTTAATGGAGCATTTACATACATACCACAGACTTATAACGTATTTACATATTTAATATCTAAACATTCATATATACATGTATAATACAATCATCACTATACTCTTGAAAGTGAAATATATTTGTGTACACAAACCCAAGTATAAAGAATTTTCTCTAAATTTCTCTTACTGAATCGAGCTCCGTTGTCGAAGTGGCTAAATCGAGCTGACCTGTCGATCTGATCGGTCTCATTTTCCTCGAACTGTGCAAAGGCATCTATCGGATGAAACCAACATGACTAATAAAAAGTCATCATGACTAATAAGGACACCAGTCAATCCCTTATAAAGACGTCGCCCGACATTTGAGACTCAATCTTTTCACCTAATTACAAGGTATGGTCTTCATACTGATAATACCTTATATCAACCGACAATACTTGATAACCATGCCACAATCTTTCCATCAAGACATTGGAGAAAGGCACGATATAGTGCAAAATATACAACTTCAATTATTTTATTAAATTCCTCTCTTACGTATAAAAAGGGAGGGAAAATGAGAGAGCGGGGGATCCTTCTCCTTTTCTCCCATCTCCATTTTCCTCTTTTATCCATCTGAAATTTTATAACTCAGAGAACCCCGAGGAGCTGCCTCCCCCCACTTATCAGAGATCAGAAATTAATAAATTTCCTAAGGTTCCCTCAAAAAACTTTCATCGATCTCCCTCCTAATCATTCTCTGCATGTTACAAGGTCTTTTACTGGTTGTATGCACTCACAAACAATATGAGATATTATATCTGAAAAGAATTCAACACATTTTTTCATGCAAAGATTTATAATTAGATATATAAATACATAAGAATTGTGTGGGATGCATGTAAATTTCCCAACCTTAATCTGGGAGCATGGAAAAAAATAAACAAATCTATAAGCCTTAAAATGAGAATAAGAACACATTCAGAAAAAAAAAAAAAATACTGTGATCAATTAATATAACATTTTTAAAAACTGGCGCATTCTTCTTAATGAACCTGCCTTCTTATTGTTGAAAAACAATGGCTTAAAAAGACCTCTGGAAGTTAGTCGATAGCCCCAATCGTGTGCTCTTCTTCTGAGCCTTCTTTTTCCTGTAAAGATACAACCAGCTCATTCATTATAACCCTAAAAACCCAAAAAAAAAATAGTTTTAAATGAACTTCTTTAAGCTTCTGAATTATGTGAAAAATTCTTCCATAAATTCTTCGTTACAAGCAGCAAAGACTTGATAAACATATGCCTTACCTGATTTATGAATATGCCTATTAGTAAATTCATTTGCCTTAACAGGCCGCTGCATATTTTGCTGTTCCATTTTATTCAGTGGAGAATCATTTTCTGGAGAAAAAATAGGATCATCTTTCACTGAAGTAGAAAGATCAACTAATAACACATCAGGCCCTTCAATTTCTGCAGTAGAAACATGCTTCTTTTCGCATTTAATTTTAGTTACAAATCCCTTGGGATCATTTCTTTTGCAAATAACATTTTCCTGTGGCTGCATTTCCAATTTGGCAGAACTATCTAACAAAACCACATCAGTTGATGCAGCTTCTGAAGAAGAATTTTGTTGATTTTCCTGTTCTATGTTTACCTGAGTTTCTAAAGGTACAGATATATGCTCCTGCCCACAAATTTCATCAGGATAGCCATTAAGTGGCACATCACCTGGTGAGGAATTTTTCTCTTTGATCTCCACTTGCTCTACATAATGATCCTCTACACTAATGATTATGTTATTATCAATCATGGAAATCTGATCTCTAGAACATGAAGCAACATCCACCTGATCTCTAACTTCTATATCTTCATCACCAACACTATAAAACTCTGTTGGGGATGGTGCTTTCAATGACAAGTCATCTGAAATCCACATTTCAGTCAGAGAAGTATTCTCAAAAACATTGATTTCCATACCATTTTCGTCCGAACATTGCTTGGTCTCTTCATTTGAGGTTTTTGGCACAGATTTTGCAACCACAGCCACCATATTCTCCGGCGAAGCATGATCATGTTGATCAATTTCATCAGATTGATGGGGAGCCATTCCGTTGATAGAGGATGTAAAACGAGCTGCATTTTGGCCTTTAGAATGTTTGCTGGCGGCGGAGAAAAGCTTAGTTATATCATCAAGTGAGGGAAGATCATTCTCCCCGCTGGATATTGGATCCCAATCATTCCATTCATTGAACCAGTCGGAAAGAGAGTCCTTTTTTTCATTCGGTAATATTCGTTCTATTTTGATGGCCTCTTTGAAGTAGCAATCTTTCTTTCTCAGGGAATTAGCGACCAAGGACCTGCTTTGATGATGAATAAACCACTTGGTTAAAGAAGAAAGGCATGATTTTGTGGACAAATGGCCTTATTGCATGGAAAAGAGGAATGGGATATACGAACCTACAATTCTTAGAAATAGCTGCTTTAGCTCGCTCCATGGTTAGGCCGAGCAAAGTTGTTGATAAATTTGCGACATCACGAGGACCTCTAACTTCATCGAATCTTGTAGCAGAACCTGAGATAATCAGGTTTTTCCCGCGTGTCCACTCGCCCAATCGCTACGTTAAATTATACAAAATCAGGCGATTCTGATGATTAAAATTCAATAAAAGAATAAACATAAACTTGAAACCAAGGCTTTGTTTGAGAAGCTGTATGAGCTCATTATCTGTTCACATCACCTCATACCAATCATCTCAAAACGATAATTTATCTTCTTCATTTCAAATACTAACAGTTTAACACCTATCTCTTCATCCCATCAAATACATGTGCCACAACCCACCACAAAAAAAAAAAAAGGTTTAATGTAATTTATGAGGTTTAATGTAATTTATGGTTTGAAGGTTTAATGTAATTTATGGTTTGTTTGATGCGGCTGCAACCGCTCGTGTAAAACTTTTTCAAAAAAAAATTCTTTTTGAGGTTATTATGTAATCTATTTAAAATATAGAAATGTTGGATTAAAGAAGTTATGGAATGCAGCTGCAATTTCGAACATAGGGTGATGAACAGTCACAAAATGCCTTTATAGAACAGAAATAATGCATATGTGATGGCATAAGGCAAGCTCACTCCTAACTCTAAGCGGCATTTAATACATACCAACCCAATTCCTATGTATATACACATCTAACAGCTAAACTAAACTTAAGAAAGTGGTATTTTGTTATGTGATATGAAAGATTTGAGTGCTATAAAGGTATATAAAGTAAAGTTTACGTGCTAGATATGTAAATACATACAAATTAAGCGTTTTGTATGTAAAAAACATGCATACCTTGGCCTCTGACAATATTTGCCGCCTTGCATGACCACCAGCAATAATATGAGAATAGGATATCTCAAAATGCACCCCACGCTGCACAGAAATTTTACAATGAATTTACTCCAGAAATCATGATTCTTGATAATCAAATCAACATACAGACCAAAGTAATACCTTAATTGCAGCTTGAACCATTCCAAGCTTCAACCTGAAGGGTAGTTTCTGAGAAAAATCTAATGAAATTATATCAACCTGTGTAAGAAAAAATGCCAACTTTGCTCAAATCATACAGTTTCTCATCAGATCAAAAAAAAAGAAAAATGTAGAGCCACTTACCTCCGAAGCACTGCACGCCTGATCGAAAGCCATCTGGTTCAATGGCCGCGTCGCTACTAGATCATAAGTCCTCAAGAGGCGGTTGCCGATGTTGAGGGCTGACGCCGCGGCGGCGCTGTCGACGGAAATAGTTATGCGGGTGTATTGCCTGAAGGGAGAGGTACGGGGGACACCAAGGAGATCTCGATGGAGGGCGACGGAGGAAGTGAAGGCGGCAGGGGAGCATCCGGCGACGGATTCGAGAAAGGATTGGGGCTTGAAGGGCGCGATCCGACATCGGTCGGCGTCCGAGAGAACGCCGCGAAAGGGGCGATCATAAGCGACGGCGGTGTAGCCGAGCTCCATTGCACGCGCGACAGTTCGCAGACGACAATCGGGGCCGCTGCGAGCATCAGGTGCGGGAGCGCTGGTTTTCTCGATGTAGGGGATGCTTAAATCGAAAAATGACATCGACGGAGGAAGCGGCGGCCGGCGGCGGCGACGGGCGGGAAGTTGAGGTGCGGAAGAAGAGTTCGGGAGGACAAAGGAGGCTTTTGTGCCGTCCGATTGTAATGCCACGGTTCTGATATGAGTTTTTTTGGGGCCGGGACACCTTTTCCCCTGTAAGGTTTTTTTATTGCAGAAACAATAATAGCTTTGTTCTGTTTTCAAGTAATTGTGTGCTGGGGTACATATGTAATTTAATTTATTTTATTTTAATTAATTATTCAATTTTTTAGAGGTGTTTAGACAAAAGTCCCTAAAATATTTTAGTTGAGAATAATATTTATTTAAAAAGGTTCTAATAAAAATAATAAATCATTATATGAAAGTTTCGAGAAAATTTTACATCCGAAGTGGAGATGCAGCTCAACGTGCGGACTCTAGTAATATGTCGTCATGTGTGCTATATAAGGCCCACCTAAGAAATTATTAAAGTGAAGCCACGGAGGTTATTGGAGTGGAACCGCGAATGTTACTAGGAGGGTTATTAGGGGTTATTGAAGGGTTATTGGGGCATTAACTCCAATAATGTAGTAATAACCCCTCAATAATCCTCTAATAATATCTCAATAACCTTCGCGGTTCCACTCCAATAACCCCCGCAATAACTCCTCAATAACCTTCGCGGCTCCACTCCAATAACCCCCGCAATAACTCCTCAATAACATTCGCGGCTCCACATCAATAACCCCCTACAATAATCCCGGTAATAACCCCCTAATAACCTATGTGGTTTCACTTCAATAAAACACTGTATTATACATCGCAATATCCTCTAGTAACCTCATAATAACCCCCCAATAATTTTTACAGTTTCATTTCAATAACCTCCACGTGGCAATATATTATTGGAAATCCGCACGCAAAGCTACGTCTGGACTCCGGATGTAAAATTTTCTCCTAAGTTTCTAAGCAAAAAAAAAAAAAAAAAAAAAAAAAAAAAAAAAAAAAAACTAAACAAACAAACAAACTTAGAAAACTTATTGTATATACTAAAAATACTACCTCGAATCTCAAAGAAAATGACGACCAAGAGAAATATAAAATATACAATAACTATAAGTAATTAATAGAGGTAAGCAATCAACCGACTATCCAAGGCTGAGCATGACGCTGAGTCACCAAACTCGGGATAGATTAAAGCTCCATAGATGGTTCTCTGCTCGGTAGCGGCAAGACCCGCTGAAAGTGATGCGTGAATCATTTTGACAACGAGTCTCGTCGAACACCCGGCGTGGGCTGCGACAAAATTCATTTAAGACCTTGCAAGATTGGGAGATTCATCTGAAGCGAAGAACCAACAAGACAGGCGATATACTAGCCCTGTAAGACTCGAACCGAACATAAACTAACCTGCAAATCACTACGAAAAAAGCTAGTCGATTACATTCGACTGACCAACCCTGCGTCTGGACCGAAAAATCGCCTCAAAACCGACTATTCTGGTTGATCATGCCAAAAGACCAAACAAGTTGTCATAAACGTTTCCTCTTTTCTATAATTGTACGAAATAAGTCTTTATAAGTACGGGGTACAAATATGAATAAATGGACCTTTCTCTCTATTCTCCCTACAAAGATCTCAGATTTATTCTATTATCTCTTTCTTCTTTTCTTCACTCGGTTCTAACTCTCGGAGTGTGATCCACAAAGGACAAACTATGATCCATCATTTTAAAAAAATGGATTTCTTACAGCTTTCACACTAATAAATTTAATTATTAAAAACTATTTCTTATTAGATAAATTTCTTCAGAATAGTAAGAAATTTAGAATCAAACATAACATTAACAGTAATTTAAAAAGAAGAAATTTATAAAAGTTATCCTAAAATAATCATAATTACATTATTCTTGATTATAGCTCAAAAAATTATGACAGAGCAATATTTTGATGCTTAGAGTCCAAAAAATTGTGATAGGATAATTTATAAGTTAGATTCAAGATTATTTGTACTCTAATTTCAATAAATTTAGAGTCAAACTAGACATCCCTGAAATTTGATTTGATCTGAGTCTAAATAAAGTCAATATCTAATAAAAAACTTCAAAGTATATTAAATGAAATGTTAAATCATTTATAAATTAGATATGCTTACAATCAAATTAAGAATCATGACAAGTGAAATCTAACGAGCTCAATGTCACTCAATCCTGAGATCGTTAAGCTAATTTAAACAGTGAATAAATGAACTACGATTAAGAGAATTAACAATGATCCTCTGATAGAGTGTTCAAGGATTTCAGTTTAACTTATCAAAATATCACACTTAAAAATTATAAATAGATTATCATTCACTACATGTGGAGAGAAAAATTGGCTAGAAATTAAATTTATGCTCACAAAGAGAGTATGAAGTCAATGACCATCATCTATCAGCTATGATAGCCCAAATACTATCATGACTATTGTTTTATCGTTATTATCTCCAAATATTTGTTGTTTGATTATTATCTCCAAGTTATACTTCCTGAATAATTATCACATAATTATATTGTCATACAACAACTTTTATTTAATAACAAATGAATAATCAACTATTATGAGCTTGTCTTTTCCTATCAAGGAGAATAAATATAAATATGCAATATCAAGTATATGGTGGATTATTTTTAAAGAGTCAGGCCCCATATTTTTTCTCTTTTTGGGGGTTTTTCTAAAAAAAAAGCCTTATTACTTCTATTTATGCATGTTTGAAAGACTTAGTGTTTTTATCATTGAGAATTTTCTAGAACCAACATTTATTTTTTCTAATTCCCAAGCATATTAATAAGATTTCATGAAAATTTCGATTGTTTAAAAGTTTTATGCTAATTAATAGATGTTTGAAGTAAACAATTTACATGAAATTTTGTACACAGATGCAAAAGTCCACAAAAATAGAATGCATAAGAATTTTGTTGTAAAAACTCAAAATAAAAGAAAAATCATCGAATTCAACCACTTAAAATAGTTTTACTTTATAAGTTAAAACTTACAATTATCCATCTCTTGCAATGGTGGTGTTGGATGTTTAAATGCAGTTGTGTTGATAGGTAGATTATGGAGAGTGAAGAATGCTAACATGGATTATCATTGCAAGCATTAAAGTTAGAAAAAGAGCAATAGTTAGCATTGAAGGCTAACAAAGAAATTTTTGACATCAATTAATAATGTATAAGGGTAGACTCATGAAAACATTCATAAATATTAAGATCCCTCCAAGGAAAGATACTAAATTAAGAGAAATAGTAGCAGTAGAAGAAAAAACAATGACATAGACTTTTAATTTGATATTTTATTAGGTTATAGTGTTAATAATTTTAAGAATTGGGTCTCAAGAGATTACATAAATGTTCATAATAAGTTGGATACTTTTATTGGGAGCAACTACGTGTAATTGGTGTTGTTCTTTGATAGGTTATCCGTCATCTCAATGACTCATATAACCATAAATAATCAAATTCTCAAGATGAGCCTTCAAGATTGTAATCCTTAATATCATGCTCGATGTCATACCAAACAAACATGTTCATGATTATTATCATACAAATAAAGGCTAAACCTAACTTTCCCCTTACACCTTTCTCTAGTGGATCCAACCATTAAAAGTAATATCTCATTTGGACAACGATCATTATAACAACCAATGATTAGTTCAAAGTATGAAAGTAAGTAACTTGAGGATTTCCATGATAGGTAGTAAAGCATGACTTCTTTATTTGTTGATAAGGATATTAATATTTTTGAAAATTCCTCATCAAAAGCAATTTGCTTTCTTATGTACTTCTTATTGTCTTGGGTCATGAAAGATTTTACATTAACTTCTTAAATAATTTTAGTCTCGCGGTCAAGGTAATTAATAAACTTACCTACCACGTTAATTTCTTGAATTAACTCCTTAGCATTTATAAACTTGACATCTTTTGTCAATAGCTTTTATGATTCAATGAGGATTATTAGCAACATAAAACTTGAATTTTATCGCTACAACCCTAAAATAAATGCAGCCTTGCACTTATAACCATCTATCATATTGTTGGTGACTTTGGTGAACCAAGTGGCATAATCTCAAAGTTTTTCATTTTAAACAGATTTCTTGTAGAATAAAAATTGACAAAATTTTAATCGCTTGGAGGCAAAGAATTGAAAGAGGTAAGCTATAAAACTCCTCAAAAGGAACAAATGTTGATGGCAAAAAAGGTGTTGAACCACCTTTGCATGACAACTTTAAATGTGGTGGTAAAAATACAATATTTGAAAATGATAAAAATATTATAAAGAGAATACAATTTTTGAAAGTATCGTGAAAGAATCAATAGTGCCCTTTTGTATAACTAGACTACTCTGAACTTAAGTAAAATATCTTCTTTAAAGATCTTTAAGAAAAATAAATTATTATGAGTATGGGTAGTAATTTGTGGACATGACAATAAATACATCATATTTATATATTATCCTCCCCCTAAAAATAAGACAAGAACCTTTAAAGGTAAAGGAAGCTTGTATAATTTTAATGTTCTATATGATTTACTGGCAAATGTTCTATATGAAGGAGTTAAACTAGCCTCAATTAATAAAAATATTTCTACCAAAAGGTCTAATATGTTGGAAGCGTATTTGACTTCGAGAGTCATATATGAAATGAATGATGGTAAAAATAACAATTTAGAATGGTTTATTCTAGATACTTAAATCAATCTGTAGGAAAACATACTTACATCAATCTTTAGGAAATTTAAGAGAGAAATATGAAATTTAACTTTTTTTAGTACAATGGAGATGTTTTTTGAGTCTTTAGACATTACAGATGAAAATAAAGAGTAAAGTAATTACATTGGGTGTGAATAAGATTAAATAAGAGAATGCCAATAATAGTTAACTCTTATAGGAACATGATTGATTAGTTAGGAGCTTTAATGAGCTTTAAAGGAACAATTAATAAGTGACTAAACTTTGAAAATATTATGAAGGTTTGAGGTGTGATGAAAAAAAAATCCTTCAATGAGGCTATAAACATTAAAAAAATAGCATTTTTTCTCTTATATAGAATATAGCCTGATGGAAAGATAATTGATCTCAAAGTTGCCTTAAGAATGAGGCATTTATAATAACTTTGAAGATTGTGGATTATAACTTCAAGATGGTAATGACCTAGCAGAGTTAGGATGGTTGTGATGGATGGATTGTGTGATGTATTAATGAAGGAACTATGTGTTTCATGTTTGTCAACATGTGAAAAAGTGTTGAGTTCATAGCTTGAAATAGGTCATATAATATGGCAACATAATGAGGGTATGTGAGTAAATTGATGTTTTAAATTCATTCAAAAAGAATAAAAAAGTGTGGGCTCTTTTAATTTTTGGCGCCTTTTGAAATTGCTAAGTTGGTTAGTAAAGAAGTGTGCTTCTTTGATAGGTAATATGCAATATAAGGATTCTAAGCGAGCTTTGATAACATTGATAAATAATAAACATTAGGATATGTGTGATATTCAATAAACACAATAAAAAAATTTACTAGATGACTTTTTAAAAAGATACATGACTTGTAAAATGAATTGTCATGACTTTTATTAGATGATGAAAGAAGCTATTGAGACTACTACGTGGACTTAGTAAGAGGAAGTGTCCAGAGATCAAGGCTGTTTTGGGAGATTCTAAGGGTGTTTCTCAACAAGTGCCCCCAAGAGCACACTACAGATGATGTGTGAGGTTATGTCATTGATGATTTAAAACGATTATAATTGTGGGGAACAAAATTTATGAACGATCTTTTTGATTTACATTGCCCCTAGAATGATAGACTAGGCTAATTTGACTTAGGATTATCAAAGTTTGCTTAGTGGCCTCAATTCTATTTCTGCCAAATCAATATTTGAGTAGCGAATATATTTTAATATTTTAAAGCTCTCAAAGGCAACCACTTAATTATTATGTATTTTTGTTGCTAACACCTAAACTTCAATTTTTTACTTATATGTCATCTTACTTATGCGTGAAAAGATGTATTTCACTTTTCAGAATTGTAATTGTGATATCTTTTATGTGATATACAAGGTTTGATTGGTAGAAATGCAAAAAAAAAAAGCAAAGTCTAGGTGTTTGATAAGTAAATACTTAAGTATTTAGCGGTATATATGTAAATGCCACAACTTTAGATATCTTCATTTTAAAGAATTTATATAAAAAAAAAAACATGTCATGAGATTGTTAGGAAGTGTTTGTTGACCTAATTTAGAAGGAAGAAAATGAAATTTGATTTTTCTTTATTTTATATTTTTGAAATTTTTTTAAGAGGTTCTATTTTAAGCAAGAAGGCTTAATTTACCATAAATTAGAAAAGAAATGCGAAATTATAAAAACCTCCCTGTTCTACTTTTGATGAAAATTACATTTTTCTTCTGGTCATTCCTTTATATATATATATATATATATATATATATATATATATATATCGGTCAGAGATCGCCGATCAACCACGATAGGTTGGACTGACCAAGGGGCAGACCCCCATTCCAATTTTGTGTGCTATTTGAATTCTCCCGAAAGGGCTGAAATTCGAACCCCCCAACCCGAGTGTCTTACGCCAAGACCACTATCAATGAGTCAGGGCCCGCACACTCCTTGATATATATA